TAGAAATTGTCGGAAAATGGAAATTGATTTTCAAAACATCCTCCCCCGCGAAACAACAAACAACAAATCCTTTTTTCAGTTTTTCTGAATTGAAAACGTTATTTCACAGATTCATTCCAAAGGTTTTGTTGTCTCACGGGGGGGGGGGGGGGGGGGGGCACGTGTCTAAAGATTAAAAACAGGAAAATAGTCATATTTACTTTATCACTTTATCAATCTCATATGTTGAATTTTACATAAGTTAAACATACGGTGAGATTTAATTAAGAGCCATTTATCCATCTCCATGAGTATTTGAAAATCTGGTGATGTTTACGTTTTCAGCCTGATTTCAATTGAAAAAATTTTCTACCCCCTTATGAAAGGAGTTGTAAATAAGAGCAATTTACATTTTGTCACTGGTTTTTAAATTTTAATTAATTAGTAGGGTTTTGAGATTAAATACAAAATCAACACTAATATATCCATTTCTCGCATCAATTTTCTTTTACATCTTCTGAAGAAATGTCATTTATAAATTCATAGAAGTCCCCCTCTGCGTCCATGTTTTTTATCTGTCAGTCAAGATCACAGGTTCCTGAGTAACATGACTATATATGTATAATTTTGCGTTATAACGCGAAAGTTTTGCGTTTATTCACGAAAATTTCGCGTTATAACGCGAAAGTTACGCGTTATAACGCGAAAGTTACGCGTTATAACGCGAAAGTTACGCGTTTATTCGCGAAAACATATAGCTAATTTTAATGTTAAGCATGTGTGTCTGTTCTAATAACACTCAAGCGTGCCCTAAATTCTTACGTAGGCAAAAAAGGTCTTTTTAGCTCACCAGAGGCACTTTCGGTCAACTTTGGCCTGAGATTGTTAAGAAATCAGTAGTGAATGTTGGATTGTAGAACCTCTGAACCGTTCAAGACAAACGTAAAAGCTTTGTAATGAGTGAACTTTCAAGTTTCTAGTGTTGATTATATCAATATACCAAATTACCCACGATTTCTTGTCATGTCCCCAGACCTAAAGAGGATCTATAAAAGTGGGCCAAGCTTTGACATAGGAATATATAGGAAAACTCCTTAAAACACACTTTTCAAGGACAGAAATGTTAAAGTAAGTCTTTTAAAATTATTTGTTCACACCATGGCCCTAGCAGCTAGGGCAGGCGCGGATCCAGAATTTTTTTTCCAGGAGGGTCCACCCCAGTCACAAAATAAATTTCTAACTAGAAATTTCTTGACAAGCATTAAAAAAAAACTAATTTCCCTTCCCAAACGTATTAAACGCAGAAAAAAAAAAACCAAACAAGAAAACAAAAAACAAAAACAAAAAACAAAAAAACCTCGTAAAATCCATAACCCAGAGGTGAAAAAAACATTTCGTGGTGGCGATGGTGGGGTCCACTTTTTCGGGGGGGGGGGGGTTGTTCCAAAGTCATTTTTTATTTGCTTCAGTATCTTTTTTATAATAAATCTGCAAATTCCAGGGGGAGGGGGTCCGACCCCCCTCCCCGACCCCCATCTAGATCCACATGTAGGGTAGGTCAAATTGAAAGGGGATCAAAGGTTTACATTATCAAAGGCGGTCATACCGATATATGTTTAAGTTTGTTCAAAACATGGACCCTGGATGAGGTTTGGCTATTTTGGGGGGAGGGGGTTAAGTTGATCTGATCAAGAAAAGGGGGGATCACAGTTACATGTATAGTTGCTATACTCGAATAACAATTTAATGACGATTCAAGTTTTTTTTTTTCAAATCTTGCCCTTTCAAATTTGGAGGTAAAATATGGGATCAAAGAGTCACAATATGGGGTCAATTTTACCAAGGGATATATTTGGAAAATGCTTTATAAACTTTTTCAAGAAGTTTATCGTATAGATTAACAACCATTCACACGAAGTGTTACACTGAGTGTATATTCAAGTTTGATAAAGTATTTGCGTCCGGGGCAAGAGAGAGGCAACAATTTAAACCAATACTGGTGACCAAAGCACTATATGGGAATAAACAGGAAAAATTAATAGAATCTTCTAAATACAGAAGTGCCGAGGTAACTTGAGAAATTGCTGTGGCGGTAATGTGCCCCTTATTAATTGTACATATAAATACATACTTCATTGTAAATACCCTCTTCAGTTACACTTTGTAAAAAAATATTTTTTAAAATTTTTTAATATCTTTTTTCAGTTGGTGGAAGAGAAATACATTAAAATATTTGATAGTGTGTTGGCTGAGTTGATGAAAGTTGTAGATATGGTAATATTTAATACTGTTCATCATAATATGTAAAATGTACATAATCACAAGTAACAATTGAGTCTTAGAAATCGAATAATTGCAAGAAATTCAAAACAGAATACATGTATCTATCATATTAAAGCGTACATAATTATATGTACGTAATATTATCATATAACTGGTATTAAACATTGGGGTTTAATTAAAAGCATATGGTTTTAATATTGATATTTTATTTCCTAATTTAGCTGAAACAAGAAGCCTTTATGAATGACGAGAGCCAAGTACTTTCTTTAACAAAGGTTTGTAATTTATCATTGAATATATCCGTACTTTAAAAATTGATCTCATCACTCCAAACTATATTTATTTATTATTTATTGTAAACAGCTACTTTTTTCCTTCATTTATTGTTCTAATTTTCTAGTCAATTTTTGGGCGAGTGGTTTGGGAGGAAGAGAAGAAACTTGAAAGTGATATTAGAAAACAAGTTTGTCAAAAAGCAGTTCACATATTATCAGTAAGTATAAACAACAGAAGGGAAAAGTGTATCTAGATATTGTGTAAATTATTGTAAGTAACATTTATGTTTATTATTAAAACCTAATACTGTTCTTATCTTGTATTTAGCATGGTATAGAGGAGTGGGTGTGTGATCCCAGGCAGGTGCAGGTCAAAGCAGTGGTAAGTCAAAATTATATATTGAAAAATTGAAATTACTCGTTACTATTTTACATAAATCTTAATCTTTTTTAAATATAAATGATACATAAAATATTTTTTATCCTCTAAACAATGTGTTCTTTGTAATTTGTGTGTGTGTGATACAAAGTGATTTAAGTTACTGTTAATAAAATATAAACAAATAACAATTACACTTGTACTTTAACATTTAGTAATAAAATAACACCTTTCATTCACATTTTTGGAAAAGAATTATGATAAACAAAGAAAAAATACGAAGACAAATTAAAAACTTTGTTTTGACTATTTCTGTCTGACTGCGGTAAAGTCATGTTGTATTATAGGCGCTTTTTTCATCAGAAAATTCTTCGAAACTAGGGGGTGAACACATTACATGGGAACTATATCCAACCCTCTTTTTTTCTGGACATTTTTCTTAGCACTGGAGTCTAATTTCACCGATATCAAATTGTTAGTTTATATATGATTATCACATATGACATAGATAACAACTGTAAATTTAACGTTAAGAAAGTCAACAAGAAATACGATAAATCCATTTACATGTAGTTGATTCTTATTGAATTTGAATAAAAATGTATTCAAAAGGCTAATTCATTTTTATGTTGTTCTATTTTGAGTATCATCACTGCTAAATTAAACTCCAATCAGCCAGATGATGTGATGAATTAAAACACTGTGTTATTAAAATAAATCAGCATAATAACTTGTTGCCTAGATTTTTCTTCAAAGAGTGAAGATAAGAGTCCAAGAGGAATTGAAAAAAAATCCTGACCTTCGATATTTCGTCATTAATGAAATGATTGTAAGTAGATTTTAACTCGATTACTTTTTTTTTAAATGAAAAGTTACCAACAGTACCAAAGATTAAAGTCTCCGTATATCTTCAAAGGGTTATTCTGTTAAACTTTATTTCAAGTTATTTTTTGTAGTATTGATTTCAATTTGCATGATGACATCTTTTAATATACTCCACAGAAGGAAGAAAAAGGCACTAACAAGAAAAAAGAAGTAAGTTATATATTTTAACACCTTTAACACAATGAGTAATTGCTCTAGATTTTACGATATTTATTCCTTAACATATGGTTTTAAAATGTTTTTCACAGAAGGAAGAAAGCATTGAAAAGAAAAAACAAGTAAGATTAACTTTTCAAATATGACTTTTTAAAATACATGAATATTGTAGTAATGTAAATCACTTTTTATTCACGAGAACTTTATTTTTGCATTTGCATAATTTCGCGAGACTACCTGCTCGCGAAAATCATACTCGCGTATAATTCTACTATTTAAAATACACAGAGCAATAACCAAAATTCGTGAATTTTTTTCCCTTATAAAAAGCAAACAACAATCTCGCGAAAAAAAGTGTCGTGAAAATTTTATGATCTGTAGTAATGTAGATACTTTCGGAAAGTATAAGTGTAACACCCCAAACACCAAGAGTAATATTTACACATTATGCGGTAATAATTCCTAGCACATGATTGATTATGTTTTAAGATTAAAATTTAATTTTCCCTTTTAGTCACTGACTTGAGGGTATTTTCAATATATATATATATAGTTCTTTTTTTATCTTACCTGATCCAGAGATTAACTTGAGCCGTTCAGATTCGAGAGTACCTGGCGTACATCAGCTTCTGCCATGTGTTGAATATAAACTTTTCACATTCTAGAACCGCTAGGCCAGTTTCAATCAAACTTGTTACAATGCACTCTTGGAAAAAGGGGGGTTCAGATCTGTTCTAAAGAAAGGCCATGTCCTGTTTCGAGGGCATATAATTCTGAAAAAGAAAAAAGGGAGTAAAGGTGACCTTAAGCAGAATCTGTATTTAATGCAAATTCTTGAAATCTTTGCCTTTAACTTGATGATTTGTACATCTACATGTATCTATCAATTTTTAGGCCAAAAAAAGATGACTCAAGTGGGTGTTGTGGCCTATGGGCCTCTATAAATATTACCAGTATTTAAGAGCAGATATTTTAAGAGAATGCAAATTTAATTTAATTTTAGTTGCTGATTTTTCTTTTTATTTTTCACCTGAAGGCATCTGTCATTAAACTTCAATCTTTCATACGTGGATGTCTACTCCAAAAGCAATACATGAAAATCAAGAAGTCAGTGTGCATTATACAGAGACGATTTAGAGCATACCTTGTCATGAAACAAACTCAAAAGAAGTACCTTACTCTTAAAGAAGCTGTTATTACTATTCAAGCCTACTTTAGAGGTTACCTGATGCGTCATGAATACAGAAAAGAGAGGGCAGCAATTGTCAAGCTACAGTCAGGCACCAGAAAGTTTCTCTGTCAGAGAAATTATGCAAGACTGAAACACACCGTCATTGAAGTTCAAAGACGATACCGTCAAAAAGTATGTGTTGCAAGAGTGAAAATGGAATACTTGACTACCAAGGCTGCAGTCATTACCATTCAAGCACACTACAGAAGACATCTTCAGCAGCGAGACTACAAACAACGATCAGTTGTAGTTCTTCAAAGTGCTGCTAGAGGCTGGAAAGCTAGAAGACAAGTAAAACAAAGAAAACTAGCAATCATCCGTATTCAGGCTGTTGTCAGAAAGCTTCCTGCTGTACAGAGATTTCAATCTTTGAAGAAATACACCGCCTTTTGTCAACAACGCTATAAAGCCAAGTTACAAGGAAGATTGGTTCATCATCAGTATTTGGCCCTTCGTCAAGCAGCTGTAACAATGCAATCATTCTACAGAGGAATCCAGGTTAGGGAAATGTTGTTACTGAAACAAGAGAGTGCCAGAAGAATTCAGTCATGGTACAGAGGACGAAAACAATACATATTGTACACAGAACTAAGAAAATCAGTCCTCATCTGTCAGAAAACTTACAGAGCTTGTAGATTAGCACAGTCAGATCAAAAGAAGTTCTTGGTCCTTAAAGGAGCTGCTCTTACTATTCAGGCAGTTTATAAAGGCTACAAGACAAGATGTATGTACCAAAAAATGAAGCAGGCCATAGTTTTGCTCCAGTCTGGTTCTAGAGGTTTTCTAGAAAGAAAGAGGCTAAAGGAACTTCATAAAGCTGCGACTATGATACAGCGAGTGTTAAGGAACCGCATGAATATTAAGCTTTTCAAGGTTAGTCTTAGATCAGCTTTGAAAAGTTGAACTGATGTATTAGTTGGAACAAGTTGTAGTTATGCAAAATGCATGTTGCTTTTGTTTGTCATTCCTATTATCTAGCATAAATTTCTTTTGTAGCAGCAGGAGAAAGTAAGGCAAACATATTTGTTACAATTCACCAGGAAGGTAGAGATTCACCTGAAAGCAACAGTCATACAGAGACGCTACAGAAAACATGCATCACTTTGTGAAGCCAAGAAACAACTTCACAGTGCCCTCATAATACAGGTAAGGTGTTCAGTTAATTTGTGTTAAAAATTGTATGATCAAATATTCTGACTGAAATATCATAGATTAATGTTGGGGGTTCGAGGGTCAAAACTTGTTGAAAAAAGTTTATTGTCTTGCCAAAAATAGGTACCCATGTGTTCATGGTATCAGACTAGTTCATGGCATGCCAAGAACAAGTGTGAAATTTTTTATTTAATAAATTTTTGCAGAACTGGATAAAAGGGAGATTATGCCGCATTCGGTTTCTGAAGCTCAAGAGGTCTGTCCATGTGATTGAAACAGCAGCATTACAGTGGATTCGCATCAGCCATGACAAAGAAAAGAAACAAGCAGCCACCAAAATACAGGTAGCAAATATTAAATATGCCAAATGCAATTCTAGTAAAAGAGTAGATGTATTAGAGCTTTGGATAAAGATGCAGGTGTCCTATGTAGTAATCACCCTGTTCATTCAACGTGATACAGTAACTTCCGTCATTATGTTCCTTCAAAAAACAGACTTAAATTTAGTCTATAAATTAAGGATGGTAAGTTCAGACTCATCATTTGGAATTTTTCAAGGTCACTGGCAGAAATGTTGTAATACTTAAATACATATATTCATCCTTGCTTAAATTCTTTTCAGTTTCAATTCAGCACCCACTGCCATATTATGAAGAAAACCTATGCTTATATTAATAAATTCTAGTATTCTAAATACATTTCTTAATTTTCAGGAAGAGGAGATACAGGAAGAGAAGGAAAAGCCCAAGAAATTGAGTGTATGTTTTATAACTTTATTTCTTTCATAGTAATGTAGAAAAAATATCTTTTATAGTTAATATAAAAAAAATTCAGACATCACATACGCTGTAATTAAATAGTTAATTATGAACTGATTTAAGTATACAAAATGCTAAAATCAGTTAATCTTTAACTAATTAATTACACTGTATTTGAATTTTTATTTTTTATTTTCATCTTTTATTTAGCAGTTCATGTTTTCGTTGTCACTAAAATAGCAATGCTTAAATCCTACAAATATAAAATGTTTGTTTTGTCATTGTTGTCACAATTAAAGTTAAAGGTCCAGAACTTTTCTAGAATATCTAAAGAAGTAGACTTTGAAAGTAGTCACTATCTAGTTACACATTTTTTGAAGTAGCTATCCAATTAGGATGTCACCAGTAAAATCATACTTAGAGCATCTTTGGGTAAAGTTGAACCTGTCAATATTTTAGGAGCTTTACTTTATCATCTTTTTTACATTTCAGAAAATGAAAAGATTCCGAAAATGGCTGAAACGCACTTTTAGTTGCTCAAGATAAATGTAAGTAAATTCATATTATATGTTGTTAGATTTTTTTCTCTGCTTTATTAATCACATTCCCCATTTTTCCCTCTTTATCAATTTTTGTTCTCATCCAACGATGGAAAGTTGGCAATCATAAAAAGTGAAAATTCATTCATTGATCATGATGAATTGAATCAGAAAATGAGTGTTCTTGAAAACATCTATTAATCCAAACATTGTAATACATGAAATGTTAAGTAAGGTAGTCTATCAGCCATGAGTACTGATTTTAAACAATAGTGATTTTCATGTCAATCATTGGACTTTGTCTATAAAACTGTGTTTCGTTTAACACCTTTTATCTATAAACCTTATGTAAAATTGCTAAGCTTGATTTGTTTAAAGTATGTCTTATATATTTAGATAGAGATTTAAAACATCATTTTTTTTCCTTATAACTGTACAACTTTAAATAGAAATGGTAAACTAAGTTTGAAATCTAGCATGGACTATATTTTTGGCGGAATGGTGGCGTATGAAAATATCTCCTTTTCTGCCTCTCAAAATTACTACAGAACAATGAATTTAGTTAGTAATTTTAAGTAATTAAAGACTTAAAAGAAATTTTCTTTTGTTACTAAAAATAATGATTATGGCCTAAAGTTTATCAAGTAAATATGATTTTCTAAACAAACTTTAATCTTTTGAAAGCTTCCAATCTAAGTACGGATTTGAACAAAAAATCAGTAATTTTTCTTCTCTCTCTCTTAGTAAACGTTCAAAACTTTTGATTTTATATCATTTTGTATCTTTATATGACTAATTTACCATATATGAAAATAAGAAAGATTTAAATATACAAAGCATACAATAATAACTAATATTCCCTAAATATTTAAGAAAAATAGAGGAAATTCGGATTAGCCAATATCTATGTTAATTAAATTGTGTATGTCAGTTTCGTAGTATCATGTGATAGACCCTATATGGTAACATCTTTTAATGTAAAAAGAAAACGATTTTATTTTTTGAAATAAAAGTAGGCATCACATGATTTGCAACAGTTTGTTTTTTATTTTCAATGTCAAGGAAAAGATAATGACCATGACCTGACCTTGCTTCGGAAATAAAACGGTCAAACTTGATTTAATTGATATTATTACTTAGTGATACTGTCTTCTTCAATCTATGTAAAGTTCATTAATTTTTTAATATAAGAAATATGAGAAGAATCCCTCCTTAATGATTTAAAAAAAATAATGAGAATAAATATTGAGATTTGAAGCAATTTTGAATTACACATGAAATCAAATTGACGTAAACTCATTTTATTCTTAAAACAGAGGGGATATGTTTATAAAAAGTAATGTTCAGATTAATAGATTAAGAGCCCTCTTTCCATCCCTATCTCTCCTTCTTTCTCTCTTTCTCATCATGATATGTTGAATATATACAGTGTTTTATTTCTCCTTTTTCAGATGAAAAGTGGATACTCTGTCAAGAACTAAAGAATATTAATTATCATTCTATGTAAAAGAGATTTAAATATCAATGTATAACTTGCCTTTATTAAAGAATATTTGGAACCCAGGAGGGGACACCCGAGCTATTTTTACAGGTTTTCGCTGGTTTGGCTGATAATTAACTTTTTTTCTTTTGACCTTTTTTCTCTAAATTTATATAATGTGGGCCTCATACATAAGAGGCTTGCATTGCAAAAGTGACTTATTCTAAATTTGTCTTTGGCTTTTCTTTCTGGAAACGAGGCAAGTGAGGCAGATCTCTTGCCGAGTTACCAGAGCAAAATTACTTCAACAATTTTGGAACTTTAGGCCTTTCAGGGAGACCCATTTTAACCAGGGTTTCCCTGTCTAAAACCATTAAATTGTAAATACATCCATTTAGAGATGTTAAAAGCTCCGTTGTCCTCTCCTGTCAAAAAACTGCTTATATTTAGTTTAAAGTAATATATTTCTGTCCATACTGTATGTGCTAAAGTTTTCAATACTTGATGCGTACTTTTAAATAAATAAACCAATGTTTGCATACTTATTATCGACTTTGTTTTAAATTATGAATTCAAAATACATGTAATTGATTCAAAGGAAACTTAGTTATAAACTCTGTGCATACTTGTTAAATCTGAAGAAGCCGAGAGAGTATGATGAATTCATAATTATGACATCCATGTGTATGAATAGATATAAGTCTGGTTATCATTGAAGTGATATATACCAGGGGTATTCTTTCTGTATTCATCCTCTAAGAGAGCATCGTTATTGCCTAAATGACTGTACATATTGTCGTCCATTATGCCGGCGAAAAATAAGGCTCGTCTCGGCACATATTGTCGCCGGCGACAATATGTACCAATGGACGACAACATGTGAAGTGAGGGTAATTGTACAGAACGACAATATGTATCGTCACCCCCCCCCCCCTCATTTTTTTCTTTTTCCAAAGTTGACGGGCTGATATGGCTGAAACAGCGGCTTTTTTCCGTAGTTTCAGAGACGAGTATTTATTTCCAATGAAATAAATCAATAACAATGAATACTAGTGACACATTTATTAGGTACATGAATAAATCTACATATCCAATGACAAGGAGAAGGTAAAAGAGAGGCGAAAATACAACATTAATAAATAACTGACACACATCTTTAAAAAAAAAATACTAGTATACATGTCCTTGATATACTTATGTAAAAAAAAAAAATAATAATATGAACATGTAGATTATAAATCATAGCACAGAAAACAAAGCAAAATATAACATACAGTAACCAAACGATCAAGATTTTCATGTTTCTTATCTCTAAATACAAGTATAAATGCATTAAGAAAATATCATATTCATTGTTTGCAATTAGGCTATGCAATGTGGTTGATAACATGAAAAACTATAAGAACATCAAATTTTTTTTTTCAAGAAAATCGAATACATACATTTATTTGATATCATACAAGAGAAACTTGCTTTACAATTATGACAAAATGTTAATATCTTTCTTAATGAATAAAAACCACGAGAAAACATACATGGTTTAAATGTAATAAATTGTTTTTGTTAAAAAAACAATCGTCAATACGTTTTTGGAAATCTTTTACCAGGGACAGTCACGTGGACGTATTCTCCTCGGTCCAGAGGAAGCAAAATCCTTTCCAACATTGGATGGAAATTCCGGGGAAAGAAAACGGGCTCTTTCCCGACGACATCCTTGACGACGCAGCATTCTTCTAAGCTGACGCTCAAAATCGTGGTCACGTGGTATTCCCAGGGATTCTTGACGATATCTTCTTCCACGTGGTTCGTTTTCCTGGCAGTCTGTACTGTACTGGTTGAGAATCCTGTAAAGTTTCCGTGCTAGTTTTTGGGGCCTCATTTTCATGTCGTCATTCACTCTAACTTTCAAAGTGAGAACTCCTTTGCCGTGTTCTTTAGTCCTGCTATTTCTGCATCTCGTGGCATCATCTCTCTCCATCTCTCTGCAACGGTGGGATGCCTTTATTCTGCATTTTCTTTGACGTTTGGCTTCTACGGGATCCTCTTGTTCTGCATTTTCCTGGTTTTTCTCGAAGGTTTCATGTGACTCAGTTAGGTGCCTTTTATGCCCACATCTGCGCTTGCAGTGATATTTTCTTTTGTTTGTCTCCCCAGATTGCTTGTTTTCATCTCTTCCACCATCTTTGTCGCAATGTCGACGATGTCTGCATTTTCTCTTTCTTTCGCAATTATTACTGATACTTGCCCTTGCTTCTGATTCTTTAGTATTCTCTTCACCATCCTCAATAGTCATAGTTTCAACAAGCTCAGAAATTTCAGGCTCCTGGGTAGCTGAACGATTGGCATTCCTTGACTCTTCATTTGCAAGCATCGCTGCTCTTCTTCGATAGCTTTTGCAGCGCCGTCTAAGATGTCCCTTCTCTTCCCCACTGGCGGAATCGGTAAAGGGGTTAGGAAAACGGTTTACCTTGAACTTTAGCCATAATTTTCCATTGCGGTACCTTCGGCGTCTGCATCTTGAAGAAGCTAGCGTCTCATCACCTATTTCCCGACTGCAGACAGGGACTGATGTTGATCGTCTGCATCTTTTTCCTTTTCCACGCATTATCATTTCGGATTCGTAAAGATTTCTTTCATAAAGACGAGTTGGTGGAGCCGAATTTGCTCGCCTGCAGCATTTTCTCCCTTGACAGAATTCTTTAAAAATTTCCCGATTTCTCCTTCTTGAACGGCAACTAACGTGCGCCATATATGCTTCATCCAACCTTTTCCTAAAATGTCGGGCAGAACGCAGATTGCACCTCCGACGCCAGTTATTCCCATTCCAGTGACACCAAGTACCGGGCTTTTCACGGCAGGCTTCACTGGACATAGGATTCTGGTCTCCCTCTTGAAATTGAGAACCTTTCTCTCGATGTCTGCCACATCCGGCTCGGTATTGATCGATGCTACTCCCAGGTCGATCAAATCGTTCACGACCTTCTATTTTGCGTCGCATGCACCTTCGCATCTTTTTTTCAGAGAGGGGTTGATCATTCCTCAGTTGCTGCTCGGTTTGTCTGAACCTACGAAATGGTAGTGGACAATGACCTTGACCTAATCCTCTCCAATGACGTCGGCGACGCTCCCATCTCCTTGGACCTAATTCTTCCGGAATCATCTTATCCTTTAATAAAAATAAATACCGTATTTTAAAGATTTAAATTTTGAATGTTTAGATTAATTAGAAATATCAGGGAGTAAGAGTCAATTTTTAGAATTAAAGACTAGTGATTGATCAGATGTTTGTTTTTTCAATTTTTTATTTTATATTAAATGAAGGAATCAAACTCTTCCACTACGACTAAAAACTACGAAAAACACAGGTCATTGGACTTAAGTAAACAATAAACATTTTTGAAATAGCTTACCTTTTCATCACTAGGATTATAATCAAACTTCATGCCCTCCTCCAGTTTGGAATGATCTGTTTAAGTACAACATTGTAATAATAAGATGCATGCATTTTTTTTTTAATTTTGGTCAGAAAAATTGCTAGTTTTAAAACAATAAGCCTACATTCATTTGAATTTAACTGCTGACTTTTTTTTTTCCATTTTTACCTTCGATTCTTCGAAGATTTATTCTCAGGGTCTCCTCGGTTGCGCTTTTCATCGCCTCTTGAAACTCCTCATCACTTGACATCGTGATAATATCACCCTCATCATCTATAAATTTATTTAAAATGTTTTAAATAAATTCAGTTTATTTTTTAAGATGATATTAATAAATGATTAAATAGAACCATCGTTTGTGGAAATATGTTGTACACTCCATTCATAGAGAGGTGTGTAGTCATAATTTACGCGAAACAATATTTCAAAAATCTCCCCCAACTTCGGTGTTTTTTTTTTTACATTCATCAGACCTTGTATACTACATGCGTTAAATATTTCAACATAACTATAAAATGTAGGCAGTTTTTTCACTTAAAACATATTCCGTAATGTACAACTAAATAAATTATGCTTTTATCCTATGGCATAACATGTGTCAAATGGGTAAAGGCAGCATACAGAAACGAAATAAGGGATAAGTACATGTAGTACAACGATTGGTCTTACCTTTCCAATGGAACGTAAAAGTTCCAGTGGTCTTTCCAAACAATTCTGACACCTTTCTCTCAAATTCAGCAAAATCTGGATGATTTTCCAGCGTCATCCGTCTTATTTCTGGCTCTTCGGCAGACAACAGGGTTATTTTCACTTTCATCGTGATTTGTTGATACACGTGGTTTTGTTTACAAACAAATAGCTCCTTGAATTATTTTTTCTTTTAACAAGAAAATTTTAACGGTACCTTTTTGGAGTTTGATAGTCTTATACGTTCAGCTGCTATCAAATATTCACCTGGGCGCCTCTGTGCTCGTTTGCGCTCTGGGCGCCTTTATATAGGCGCCGAGTGGTTAGTCATGTGATTGGTATTTCGTAATCCAAATGAATCACGTGAGGGGTCAAGGTAAGTTCATATCTCATTAATATTCATATTTGACCAATTTTTCCCCAAAACACGACAATATTTTGCTAAAAAAAGAAAATTTCAGGAAAATCTTGTTCTTTCAAGTACGCGTATCATTTTAATATACACTTTATATATAGTATCTTTAGAAAGGGAGATATAATTGAATTGATAATTTAAATATTCATAAAGTGGGGGTTGGCGGAAGTGAAAGTTCATTGGCTAATTCTTAGAACATTCTCGATTCTAGAACTTAATTATTACATGGCTATTTTTAGAGCCCTATAAAAGCACCCGTTGGCGCAAAGGCGCACTTAATGACGCCAAAATGATCAGGAAAATCTGTGTGTTTTCGTGAATATACTCGTACACGTTGCAAAGTGTGGAACAGAGAGAGAGAGAGAGCTCTTTACCGTCTATATATACATAAAACACTCAGCATTTAAGAGAATTAAATACACCAACATTTTTTATTACTGTGTGGAAGTGTGTCAGTCTGATTAAAATCAAACCTTCCACTAGCTTCTTTATTTTGATGGTCGCGTGAAAGTCCAAAATAAAGGATCTAGTGGAAGGTTTGATCTTAATCAGATTGGGAAGTATGTGCATATATATGTTGAGCCTTTGACAATATCTGTAATTGTGTTTGCGCCAATGTATGTAACAGATTCAATTTATACGGAATATAGTTATTTACTTTCACATATAGTTTGATGCATTTCTCATAAATATCTGATCCATTTTAGAGAGAGAAATGATCACTTAACAAGTCTCTGTCAATATCATTAATTAAAAAAACACGATTGAAGTTATATAAAATATCGCCACGGTATAATGATATAGAATTAAACTGTTTTAAAATCAGTTATATGCAGACTTTGGTGGATTCTATGAAGCCCAGGAACGGGAGGGGGGCACGATGTAAATCTAAAACATATATAGTGGCTTGTCTTCCGAATTGTTACATTAAAATTTGATTTTACTTTTAAGTCATTTTAATTCTGTTTCAACAAGGATGGTGAATTATAGGTAATGAATACCCTGTTTTACTAGAGATACTTTGGGCATTTCAAGCTCACAAAATGCCCCCACCTCCACCCCCCACCCCCGATCCCATATGAGTATAATGGCAAAGTGCATCTACTACTTATGACAGAATGTATATGAGATTCTGTGCATGTTCCATTAAATTTTATTCAGAGGAGTTGCGTTAACAAATCGATACCTCCTTTATGGAGAAAAAATCTGGTATATCTGGTAATATTGTGAGATGTTAAATATATCTGCAGAATGACTCCAGTGTAAGTATGAAGAAAAATTAAAATCAATGTCTTGCTACAGGAAACCCCACTGAAATATATGCCCAATCAAATATGAGGTGCTCAACGGCACGTACTTTGTAATAAATATTCTGTGAAAGTATCATTTAATCTTATTCAGTGTATAGGAGGAGCTGCAGATAAGATGTGAGTACTCCAATGTCAAATAAAGGATGGCAAAGTCTGTGTTTCAGTACGGGAAGTCTCAAATACCTTTCCAGCCGAAACGTTAAATAGAAGGTGCAAAATGGCACAAACTTACAACAAATGTTAGGTTTTAAAATTTCATTATGCACAATGCCTAATAAAAATTTTGTAAAGTTTCATTAAATTACATTTAGTGGTATGAAAGGAGTTGCGTTTGGCTAACTCCAAATGTAACGAACGGACGGACCTCCCATCACAATATAACCCCCTCCCATTTCAGGCGGGGGTATTTAAAACAAACCACAGTGAGAGACTTAGAAAGGAGATGGGTGAACAAGGCGTGCAGAATGCCTATAGCTTCAGATATGTAAAAATCATTTTGAATTTAGTATTTAGAGTAAAGTGATCTTTTAATTCATGTGGCATTTAATTCATGATTGTGATATGACCCTTGACTAAATGGACTTCAAATACTTCTTGGAAGATGCGAAAGTTTACAGATGCTGGTGGACAGGAACCCCCCCCCCCCCCGAATATACACCCTGGGTCCAAGGATATTTTTATTCGTCATTCGTCTTTTCCCATTTTTTTTAATAAAACATTTATTCTACGTTATGTTTTAGATTTTCATATGGAATACAATGTAAATGTGTACTAGAAGATTAATTTATGGGAAAAGACGAATAAAAATATCCTTGGACCCAGGGTGTATATTTGGGGGAGGGGGGTGTTCCTGTTCACAAGCACCTGTGGCGAAAGTTGTGTCATAAAAGTGTATTTCTAAAAAATGAAGCGAAGACCCACTCATATCGAAAAATTGTGTTATAGTATGAGAAAATTATCCATTTTGCCCTCTTTAGTGTGTGTATGCTATTTTATAGGCAAAAAATTTCAATCTTTGTGAGACCTTTGCATATTTTGAAGATTTTACATAGACTTTAATTTTAGATAAAATATCAAAGAAAATTTTGTTATAATTGAGATTCAATTTTTCATGTTTGTCGCACTATTTGCACTTCGATCGCCTTGTTCGTCCGTCTTCTTTTATGCCTCTCACTGTGGTGATTTTTTAAGAGTATTCATGCCTTTACGTGTCAACAACACTCCTAAAACAATTTTTAAAATGACTTCAAAGATACTTCAAATTTTAATTCAATTATATTATTTTTACCAATCTTGAATTAAAATGAGCCCCTATGATCTAAAAGGTATACCATATATTGAGTTGCAGAAACATGCATGAACTTAAATACATGTACATAATGCAATGCAACTTTTACGTCTTACAACTTTCAGGGTGTAATGTTTTCTTGTAAATATAATCTACCCAGCGCTTACAGAAGTTTATGATATTAGAGGCTTGTCTTCCGGATTGTTAAATGTAATATAAATTAAAAATATTGAATCTATACTTTAAATACACTTAAAAAGTTGTTACAATAAAGATTCTGGCACTTTCAGACAAGAAATACCATTTTCTTTTTTTTTAAAAAGTAGCACACCTATATATATAAACACTGTAAGGGACGTAAGGTTTCGTCTTGGAAAAAATAACACCCACCCACTTCAGCGCATATTTCTGGAATCTTAAGTATTAATTTATTTCGTTGTTAATGTTCTTTCCGAGGCCGTAACGGGGCCACTCAAATCACAAGCGGATCCAGGGTAGATTCCTGATTAGGGTGCTCCGGGGGGGGGGGGGGGGTCCCGAAACCTAAGTTTTTAGCAATTAACTTAAAGACTTAATCTTTGAAAAATATTTTCATTTTTTGAATTTACATGTGTTCTTAATTATAATGAAGCACCTGGTGAGATGATGGATTTACAGAAAGTGAAACAAAAGTTGAAAGTATTAATTTAGTACAAAGACAAACGTAATTAATTAAAGTTTAAAGTAAAAAAAATCATTTTTCAGAAAACCCTAAAATTTTATTGAGGCATTTGCCTCACTTGCCTCAATGGTAGTTACGGCCTTGCTTTCCCCTACAGTGATTATTTTTCTAAATGTTGATGTGTCCGTCAGTCGTCACTTAGCACTAGTTCAATCAACAGAAAACTCTATAGGTGTGGTACTTTTTTTTAAAAAATGGTATTTCTTGTCTGTAATCTTAAGCAAATCTTTAACATAAGCAGATTTTAAAATACCCATGGATATGAATAAATGAGCCCTAATTTTTTTTCCGCATGTTTAACTCATGTAAAGTTAAACATATTAGATTGATGAAGTACATTTTCATAGTTGTAATTTCTTCTGAAATTGGTAAGAAAATGAACATTTGCGCTGTGTTTTTTTTTTATCTCCTTCCTTCATATTTTTAAAATACTTGGTACGTGAGAGGTTCAGTTTGCCTGGACATAACGATAGAAACATTCAACACAAGCCGTAATACTTTCACCAAACTGAGTCCCGTATTTTCTTTTGTTAGTTTTTCTTTCTTTCTTTTTTCGCAATACTAGTAGATAGAGATGCATCGCCCTAGAGTAAGAACAATGAGACGAGGGAGTGTCCAAGCGAAATAAATCTTACTCTGGCTCTCTTGTAATTTATAGCTTTGCTCTCCTGCGCTCTTTAAACCTATAAAAGTACTTCCATAAATCATCAAAACTTTGAGTCGGATATTGTACTTTATTCTTTATATGCTCACAGAAAAATTAATGAATTCTTCCAATCTCTTGCCAAGTTTCATCTTGTTAACAGGGCAATTCATATTATGTTGATAGGCCAATACACGTGACATTCTGTACTTATGATAAAACTACTGTAAATTTTTTATCACAAAGACTTAGAGAGATGAAGAACTCTCTAAATTATTCTTCCTCAAATTTTCCAAAGACAAACATTTATCTCCAACTAGAGGAATCAATGCAACGAATGTACAAGGTATAGGAGAAAATTTTATTGAGGTACATCATGAATATACATCTGTATATAAATCAAATGACAATCAGTCGACAGGAAATTCAATTCAACATATAAGATTACTGGAAAAAAATCAAACAAATATGAATTTAATGACTGTTCTCTTTTTACATTATACATGTATAAATTATCTATGAATATGAACAAAATATTGAAATAAAGATAATAAATCATGCAAAATAAAAGCAAGCCTTCACAATCCAGATATTTAATATATCCATGCAATACATGTACAAATGATCTGTTCCTACTGAGAGATACAGGTTTCCACGACAATAAAAATCATTGTTTACAAATGGGATGATATTTGAAAAACAACATAAAAAACAATGAACTTTAAATTAAATTCCAAGAGAAATGGATACATAAACATCACGTAAAAATATTGAAATCTTGCCTTGATCACGACAAAAAGTTTGAAATTTGTTATGAAAATTACGGAAGGCAGTCTAGAGTCAAGAATCAAGAATCAAACTAAAAGAAATTTCAATTCCGTTTTTCATGGTTATTTTTTCCGGTGGTGGTCTACCATGGACAATCACGGAGACGTTTTCCTCTGAGAACAGGTCTGAAGGCAGCAAAATCCTTCCCCAATTTGCGTGGAAACTCTGGCGAAAGAAAATGCGCTCTTTCATGACGATATCCTTGGCGACGCAGCATTCTTCGATAATGAGGCTCAAAATCACGGCCACGGGGTCTTCCCCGGAAGACATCTCGACCACATCTTCTTCCCTGGAGTGCATTTTCTTGGTTGTGAGTACTGCACTGCTTGAAAATTCTGCAAATTTTCCGTGCTAGCTTTCTAGGCCTAATTTTCATGTCGTCATTCATTTTAACTTTTAAAGTGAGAACTCCGAAGTCGTGTTCTATAACTCTGCTTTTTTTGCCATGGCAGGTACCATCTTTGTGCGTAGCACGGTTGCATTTTCTTTGACCTTTCTCTTCTATGGGAGTTTCATCTTCTTCCATATTTTCCTGGTTTTTATTTTTATTTTCTTGTGACTCATTGAGAATCCCCTTATCTCCACATCCGTGCTTGCAGTGATATTTTCTTGCTTCTTCAGATTGATTATTTTCATCTGACCCATCATCTTTATAATGATGTCGACGATTTCTGCATTTTCTCCTTTCTTCCCCTTCCTTACCATCCTTGATAGTCATGGTTTCAACAAGTTCAGAAATCCCAGGCTCCGTATCGTATTCATTCCGGGATGTCAAAACATCAGATTTCTTCTACTCTTCATTTGCAAGCATTGTGGCTCTTCTTCGATAGCTTTTACAGCGCCGGCCAAGACATTTTTTCTCTTTTCCACCGGCAGAATCTGTAGAAGATTCACAGACATGTATAGGCAAACCATTCACCTTAAACCTCAGGAAAGACTTTCTATTTCGGTTTCTACCTGGTCTGCATCTCTTACTAGCTAGCATCTCGTCGTCCTTTTCTCGTCTGCACACAGCAACAGATGCTGAGCGCCTGCATCTTTTTCCTTTTCCATGCATCATCAAACTGAATTCCCTAAGGTTTTTTCCATACAGACGAGTAGGTGGAGCTGACCTTGCTCGTCTGCAGGACTTCTTCTCTCGGCAATATCCTCTAACATTTTCCCGATCTCTCCTTGAGTGGCAATTCTCATTGACCACCGATGCACCGAAATGTCGGACAGGGCGCTGATCGTGTCTCAGACTCCAGCGATCCCTGTTCCAGCGGTACCAGCCACCAGTCATTTTTGGACAAGTTCTACTGGACACTGGAATCTGGTCCCCATCTTGACATGTTAACGACCATTGTTGTCGTCTGCCACACCGGTATCCATGATTGTTATCCCCAGGGTGATCGAATTTTTCGCGATTTTCTACTTTGCGACGTAAGTACCTCCGCGTTCTTTTTTCGGAGGGAGGGTGGTCATTCATCAGTTGTTTTCTTAACCTTGGAAATGACACAGGACTTTGGCCATTGTCGAAACTTTTCCAATGACGTCGACGACGCTGCCATCTCAGGGGACAGAACTCGTCCGAAGTCAGATTATCCTTCAATAAAAATGAAACTTAAGATTACGATTTAGATCTTTGAATATGTACCTTGTTACAGTATGAGATTGTACATCAAAATTAAAGATTAAACAGTGAAACACTGTTTGATTTTCAAGATTCACAACCGATAATACGACATTCATATAACATGATGAATCCTGAAGAAAGAGCTGATTGTAGACAGTCCGCCTTACTATTCGACATGTGAGCACATTTTCAAAATTGGATCTTTTTATGCATTAAAAGCTTTTTATACTCGGAAAAAAATTCAGTTTATAACTACATGTATTTCTGACCAAGGAACAAAAACCAAAATGAATAAGAAATAAAATGGAAAAAAAAAAAAAATCATATTTTACCATTTCATTATCACCTCTGTGGTCCGTTCCCTCCTTTCTCGAGTGATCTGTAAAACACATCATTGCAATAGTCAGATGATAACATGTAACAGTTTTTAATTTCTCAAAAATATGATAGTTAATTAAGAACAGCTATAATCAATATTTTACATTTGTATTTACCTTCAATTCTTTGAAGAAAAATTCTCAGGGTCTCCTCGTTTGCGCTCTTCGTCGCCTCTCGGAACTCCTCATCACTCGACATTGTGATTAGGTCACTCTCGTCATCTGCAATATTGTTATATAAATATTTAAAATATTTTTATAAGGATTATTTCAGCTATAGGTTAAACACCACTTCAAGGAAAATGTTCTGGGGGAAATTACAAAAGCTGTAATTAATATGAACTTCTGTTTACTCATTCCGTGCACGGATTTGCATTTAAGTTCATCTGCATTCATTAAACTTTCCATAACTTGACAATGAGTACTAAAATACCCAATGTTGTAAAAAAAAAAAAAAAACAAACAAACTTTCGGGAACCAAATGGTTGATAAAAAAGACAAATATCTTACCTTTCCAATAGAGCGTATAAGTTCCAGTGGTCTTTCCAAACAATTCTGACACCTTTCTCTCAAATTCAGCAAAATCTGGTTGATTTTCCAGCGTCATCCGTCTTATTTCTGGCTCTTCGGCAGACATCAGGGTTACTTTCACTTTTATCATGATTTGTTGATACACGTGGTTTTGTTTACAAACAAATAGCTCCTTGAATTAATTTACTTTTAACAAGAAAATTTTAACGGTACCTTTTTGGAGTTTGATAGTCTTATACGTTCAGCTGCTATCAAATATTCACCTCGGCGCTTCTACGCTCAATGGCGCTCTGGGCGCCTTTATATAGGCGCCGTGTTGAGTCATGTGACTGGTATTTCGTAATTGAGTCACGTGAGGGGTCATGGTAAGTTCATATCTCATTAATATTCATTATTGACAACATTTAAAAAACACTATTTTTCAATAATTTCAATACTTTTCTGCAAGGTAAAGTTGCAGAAAAATCGTCTAAATAAATCTTTGTATAATACATTTCAATTAATGCCTGAAAGATGAGATATAATGACTTATTAGACCTGCTAATTTAAATATTCATTATGTGTGGGTTGGCGGAAATATAAGATTTAGAACATTCTCGATAACGGAAAAACATTTTTAGAATTAATCACATGACTATTATTAGCGCCCTATAAAAGCGCCATATGGCGCAAAGGCGCACTACCTGACGCCGATACTTTTCAAGGACAAGTTGTTGAAATATATACTTGCTATACTTTAATTTTTTTACTGTATTAATCACGTTTGATATTTAAAGTTACTAAACGAACTGAATAATTTTAAAAGTACACGTGAAAAATGAAAGTAAATATTATATCCGAAATGGGTGTAATTCGTGATTTTGATTTTGTTGATGGAAGTTTTGACTATACATCGTTGTTGACAGTAACAAAAGAAAATTTTCCCCATATAAAGAGGTATGCCCTTCTGTGGAAAGGTATGTAAAAAGAACTTATATATATATAAAAGAGTACGATCTATAAATAAGAATTAACGGGATATGTTTCATTGATTATAAATTTCTTATTCATTCCATTCATATTTTTATGGAAAATGTGATATTCTTTTATACTGCAGGGTTAGTTTTAAAATGATTTTTAAGTTTAGTAGAGGTTGGGTAAATAAATAAAGTATCTTTTAAGAGAATATTATTTTAAATCAATTACAGACAGTGATGGAGATAAGATTACGCTTTCGTCCCAAGAAGAGCTGAATGAAGCGGTAACCTACAGAACAGAGGAGGAACTTGATATCTATATAACAGGTATATACATTGGAATCTAATTAATATCAAACATTAGTATCTCTTTTTGTAGATAAATGCCATGTATTGAAATATTATGTGTTCACAAAGGTCTACTACTATTCTTTATTTTCCATATAAATCTATATAGCATTGTTAACTTTGGGATCGGGGAATTTAAATTTTATCGGTCCATTTTGTCATTTTTCAATGGTTTTTCTTTTTGACTGTACATCAATCCTCCTTACCCTGACGGAAAAAATCTGGATCTTTTTTTACTTCTTAATTTAAATGATTTTTTTTTTCTTTCAGAAATCTCTGATGAAATTTCGAGTAGGTTGTACCGTACAGATGAGGAAATTGGTTTGGACATTGATGACAGTATCACACATCACAATGCACATCAAACAAACCCTCGATGGGACAGAAGAAAATGTTATAAAAGAATTAAAGCGGTAACGGAGAAGACTCCAGACAATCTGCCGGATTTCTTTTCAATTTCTAAAGTTCCGTGTAGAATCAAGCGACGTCTGAAGAGAAGCGACAGGAAGTGTCTACGTCATCGGATTAGAGCAAGCAGCTGCTACCCACGTCAAAAACATGGCGGTAGAAAACGTCTGCGTGATGTAAATAAATCGCTAGAAAACATGTCCATTTCATGATCTACATTTGTGTTGACCCAGAGCTGCAGCTGATGATTTAATCAGCTAAACTTTGGATCTAATCGGCAACACAAAGCAAGCCTCTGGAATAACATATTTCATTTTAAAATTATAATTAAAATGTTTCTTCCACTGCATGTCATTCTCATGATGGTTTAAATGTATTGTAGACAAAATAAATGTATTCCTAATTTCCTGTTTATCTGTGTTGTGTTTTTGAGATTGATCATTCCTCTTATCTTCACCTTTTTCATTCTTGTTAATCAGCATTACACTATACTAGTCTAGTACATATATTCCGAAGCTGACTGACATGATTTCAAAGTCTAAATCCTCTAGATTCCTATCCCCCAAGAAAGAAATGTAAGAGAAAGACCATTTGATTCAAAGGGGGGGAGGGGGGGTGGCAGATTTTGGAAATAATAAAGACAATAGAGGAAGTTCAATCTGATTATCATTTTTTCCCACTGCATGGTGTTCAAATTAAGTTTTCTATAATCTATTTGCCTTACTAATACAATGATGCAACAAGGGATTTTTTTATGCCCCCGGATCGAAAGATCCCGAGGGTATATTGTTTTTGTCCTGTCTGTCTGTTTGTTTGTCTGTCTGTTGTCAACTTTAACCTTGCCCATAACTTTTGATTGGTTGGAGCTATGACTTTCATATTTCACATGTGTATTCCTTGTGACAAGACCTTTCTTTGGGTACCATCATATTTGACCTTGACCTTGGAGTTTGACCCACTTTTGCAAAATTTTATGAGACTTTAACCTTGGCCATAACTTCTGAACAGTTGGAGCTTGGGGTTTCAAACTTCACATGTGTATTCTTTGTGACAAGGCCTTCTTTTGGATACCAACCACTTTGACCTTTTGACCTTGGACTTTGACCTACTTTTGAAAAACTTTAACCTTGGCCATAACTTTTGAACAGTTGGTGCTTAGGGTTTCAAACTTCACATGTGTATTCCTTGTGACAAGACCTTCCTCTGGATATCAACCACTTTGAACCTTTTGACCTTGACCTAGGAGTTTGACCTACTTTTGAAAAACTTCAACCTTGGCCATAACTTTTGAATGGTTGGAGCTAGGGCTTTCATACTTCACATATGTAATCCTTGTGACAAGACCTTCCTTTGAATACCAACGACTTTGACCTTTTGACCTTGACCTAGGAGTTTGACCTACTTTTGAAAAACTTTAACCTTAGCCATAACTCTTGAAAGGTTGATGCTAGGGCTTTCATACTTCACATATGTAATCCTTGTGACAAGACCTTCCTTTGGATACCAACCACTTTGACCCTTTGACCTTGACCTAGGAGTTTGACCTACTTTTGAAAAACTTTAACCTTGGCCATAACTTTTGAATGGTTGGTGCTAGGGCTTTCATACTTCACATATGTAATCCTTGTGACGAGATCTTCCTTTGGATACCAACCACTTTGACCTTGACCTTGACGTTTGACTTTTATTTAAAAAACTTTAACCTTCACCATAACTTTTGAACAGTTGTATCTAGGTCTTTCAAATTTCACAGGTGTTTTCCTCGAGTCAAGATCTTTCTTTGGGTATCAACATTTTTTATCTTTTGGCCTGGATTTTGACTTGCATTTGAGAAACTTTAACCTTCGACATAAGCTACTATACGGGGGCATAGTGTTTCACAAACACATCTTGTTTCTTCTTCTTTTTAGCCTGGAACCGTCCTCACTTTGCTATCTTTTAGTGTAAGCAAATTAAGGATCTTGGTTGCATGGGGTGTCAATGTTTTTGTAAAAAGGTTGGTTGTTGTAAGACTTGTTACATAACCAAGTCAAAGCTAGTTTGTAATCCAATACTTCTTATTTAGAAGTTATCCATTTTTAGCCATAAAAATGGGGGAAGGGGTGTTTCTTTTCTTTTTTTTCACCTGGGAAATGGAACAGACTCATACTATTTATATGAGGTAGAATAGTCTCTGACCATGACCCACTGGCCTCTCAGATAATAATGGTTCCTAAAATTGTAAATTAATACACATAAATATTCAAAACCATAATTATATTTAATATTTTATTTTACTTTTGTCTATTTAGTAATGCACAACACCTCTTTCTCTCACTGATACACATTAACAACATGGATTTTCCTGTAAAACTTGGTCTCTTTACTGAAAAGAAAAGAAAATGTATTATTGATACAAAGCATCCACTGTATGTATGTACGAGAAAAATGATACTTTTCAGGACAGTGCAAACTTTAGATTTAATTGCCAGAAATATAGATATAAAATGAGAACTTCACAGTTTATCTACTGAGTATTTCATTTTTTCTAACATATAACATACCTCTCTAACCAAGGAAATTGATGACAACTAAATGAAGTATAACATGTGCAAATATAAAGTCTGCAAAAGCTCTTTCTGGGCTGATTCCAACAAAATCTGTCTTGTTCTGGGGGTTGACCTGCAGCCTCAAACATACTGCAAAAAAAAAAGAATACTAAATAATTATCTTTAAACAGTACATATATATTACAAATGCTGTTATTACTTTGTCAATTACATGTATTTTATCATAAAGAACTACCACATTAAATAGCTTAAGTTAATGAAGATATAAGGGTACCCTCTTCCAGCACGGGAGGGGCCTTGATTAAAATACATTCTACACAAGCTCCTTTCTAAATACAACTTCATTCTTGCTGTGCAATTTCAGTAAGACCTAAACAGGAAGGATGAAAGTAAGGTTTAAGTTTGTCAGTGGAATCATAAGAATAATACTGAAGTGCATATTGTACTACACTACAGTTAACACTCAAGGAGCTTTACTGTTCCTATGACTACAGTTAACACTCAAGGAGCTTTACTGTTCCTATGACTACAGTTAACACTCAAGGAGCTTTACTGTTCCTATGGCTACTGTTAACACTTAAGGAGCTTTACTGTTCCTATGACTACAGTTAACACTCAAGGAGCTTTACTGTTCCTGTGACTACAGTTAACACTCAAGGAGCTTTACTGTTCCTGTGACTACAGTTAACACTCAAGGAGCTTTACTGTTCCTATGACTACAGTTAACACATAAGGAGCTTTACTGTTCCTATGACTACAGTTAACACTCGAGGAGCTTTACTGTTCCTATGACTACAGTTAACACTTGAGGAGCTTTACTGTTCCTATGACTACAGTTAACACTCGAGAAGCTTTACTGTTCCTATGACTACTGTTAACACTCAAGGAGCTTTACTGTTCCTATGACTACAGTTATCACTCAAGGAGCTTTACTGTTCCTATGACTACAGTTAACACTCAAGGAGCTTTACTGTTCCTATGACTACAGTTAACACTTAAGGAGCTTTACTGTTCCTATGACTACAGTAAACACTCGAGGAGCTTTACTGTTCCTATGACTACAGTAAACACTCGAGGAGCTTTACTGTTCCTATGACTACAGTTAACACTTAAGGAGCTTCACTGTTCCTATGACTACAGTTAACACTCAAGGAGCTTTACTGTTCCTATGACTACAGTTAACACTCAAGGAGCTTTACTGTTCCTATGACTACAGTTAACACTCAAGGAGCTTTACTGTTCTTATGACTACAGTTTACACTTGAGGAGCTTTACTGTTCCTATGACCACAGTTAACACTTAAGGAGCTTTACTGTTCTTATGACTCGGACTGTCATCATCTGAAACTGTCCACCCACTGCATCTACCCTTTCCTTCAGAGGAAAAAACAATTATCTCTAGGAAAAAAATATGTTTTACTACGTGGTGGCAAGACAGATTTAACCACTGATGGCCAGAGAACTCGGCTGGTATAGCAACTGTCTAGAGTTTAGGGTGGCAGTTAAAATCGTAGTGTTGTTAGTTTCATTTTCTCTCTTTCTTTATATTTGTTGAAAAGTTGTTTGGGCAATACATATATAATTAGTAAATATTGACAAGGTAAAAATGTGTCTTCAAGAGCAAAGACTTTTAAAGGTGGGATGAACAAGTAATTAAGTTTTAGAGACTGCGAAATATCTGGAAGATTCTGTGACAGAAAACCTAATTCTATATACAGCAGCAGGGGTCTAAGATTCGATTCAAAGTTTAGTCATAAATTTTAATTGTATATTTGCCCAATCCTCCTTTCCTGTTACAGTGTAATTCAATGGCAATGCTCAGATCTATATGGTGTTCCTTGGGGCCACTCGCACCTTTGCACTTTCGCCTTTTTGGGTTAAGATGCGAGAGTGCGAAGTTGCGAAGGCGAAGTTGTGAAGGCGACGATGCGAAAGCGAAGGAGCGAAAGTGCGAAGGCGAAGATGTGAAGGCCAGGGTGCGAAGGCGAAGGAGCTATAATAATATCAAACTTTCGCCTTCGCACTTTCGCATTTTACTTCTGTGGAGCTCTTTATCGATATGAGTTAATTTTAGTGGGCTCTTGGATGTTATTAGTATGCATGCGCTAGATTAGTGTGGCAGCGCCAAATTAATTTTTAATAATCTTTTAACCTGTTAACCAGTGTAAAACTAGGTTTGAACATTATCATGATTATGTAACTCTATTTTAAAACGTAATGCCCACTATATGTGTGTGCACTTCAAGATTCCTGTCACTTTTCTTATATAGCATACATTAATTCAATACCGTGGTTTAAATAAAATAACATTCGAATTTCATTATGCGAAAATCCTTGCTGGAAATATATTCGCAACAGACTGAACAGTTCATCTTCTTCTGCAGACGCCATTTTTATAAATAAAATTATCTTCAAATGATAGAGAACTCCACCAAAAAAAGGCGAAGGTGAAAGTGCGAAGGTGCGACGGCAAAAATGCGAAGTTGCAAAGGCAAAGGAGCGATACTAGTAACCCTCCTTCACCTTCGCACTTTTGCCCTCGCACTTTCACTCCTTCACCTTCACCCACTTTGCACTCTTGCATCTTCGCCCTAAAGGCGAGAGTGCAAAGGTGCAAGTGGTCCCAACAGAACACCATAGATCTAAAACAAATCATTCGATCATAATGATGTGCTCATTGTATAAAAAGTCTATGACTATAGTTTGGGGTGTGAAAGTCGTGCAAACGGTATTACATAGACTATATCACACAGCGTTTTTTTTTTTCAAAATGCAATGAGAAACTTGTGTGCTCTACTGTATATAGCATCCCATCGAGGAAATTCGAACAAACCTGAAATTGGGCTGAATACAGA